TAGTTGTGACTGTCATAAAGCAAAGGATTATGTTGAACAAATGCAGTATCAGAAATTGCTCCAATTTCTAATGGGGCTGAATAACAGTTATTCACTGGCAAGAGGTCACATTCTGATGATGTCCTGCCTTCCTAGTGTAAATCAAGCATATGCATTAATCATACAGGATGAAAGTCAAAAAGGAATTACTGGTTCTATTCATGAGGGAATGGAATCCTTAGCTATGTACTCTGGTAGAGCTACTGGGTCACCACAATTCAATAACAACAGGCAGTCATATCCTAGAAGGAATTTTCATTCCTTGTATTGTGATTTCTGCAACATGAATAGGCATGTTAGAGCAGATTGTAATAAACTGAAGAAGTGTGATAATTGTAATGCAACTGGTCATGTGAAGGACAATTGTTATTTGCTTATTGGATATCCAGATAACTTCAAGGGTAAGAGGAAACTCAATACAGTGATGGGAGATTGTACTAACACACAAAGACAGATGCAAAATATGCAGGATCACATGGAATGGAAAGCACACACAGCCATGGGGGAGCAATTACAAGGAGGATGTCAAGTCACACAAGAGCAATTACTGAAAATGATGAAGAACTCATCACCAACACAACTTAATCAGATCTTCAATATATTGAATGAGAACAACAAGATAATGGAGAATTCTCAGACAAGTGCTTGTATGGCAGGTAATCCCACTTCCACTTCCATTTCTTCCTTGAAATGAATTATAGACACTGGGGCTACTGATCATATGATTCATAATCACAATCATTTACATTCTAAGACCATGGTGAGAAGCTTAGGAAATGTGGAGTTACCTACAGGTGAATCAGCTAAAGTGTCTCATATTAGAAGTCTGCAGATTAATGAGAATGATTTGATCACAAATGTGTTGTGTATACCAACATTCAAGTTTAATCTCTTGTCTGTCTCTAAACTGACAAAAGAATTGAACTGTAGTGTTATTTTTTTCCCTACATACTGTGTGTTTCAGGACCTCTTGTCTAGGAAGGTCAAGGGGCTTGGTGATGTAGAGGATGGATTGTATGTACTAAACTGGAATGCCGATCAACAGCAAGAAATGATTCAAACTATGTCTGCAATTAGAACAAATAATGGAAATCCAACACTTTGGCACAAGAGACTAAGACATGTTCCTATGGAAGTAATTAGGAAAATAAAAGAATTTAGTTGTAGTAGTTTTCACATTGATCAATGTCTTATCTGTCCACAAGCTAGGCAGACTAGAGTTTCATTTCCTGTGAGTCATACTGTAGTAGATGAGATTTTTGACTTGATACATATGGATGTTTGGGGTCCCTATAAGGTGACTACTTACAATGGGATGAAATACTTTCTCACTTTAGTTGATGATAAGTCTAGATGGACATGGACATTCTTACTGGCTTTAAAGTCTGATGTAATTGTTGTTTTGAGACAATTTTTGTTGATGATAAAGAACCAATTTGGGAAATGTGTCAAAGTTTTCAGGTCTGATAATGGAGGTGAATTTTTGAATTCCACTTGTCATGCTCTGTTTGTTATGCTTGGTATTATTCATCAAAGATCCTGTCCACATACTCCACAACAAAATGGAGTGGTGGAAAGGAAACATAGGCATTTGTTAGAAACTGCCAGGGCTATTAAATTCCAAGGATGTTTGCCTAATAGATTTTGGGGAGATTGTGTGGAAGCTGCCACTTATATCATCAACAGAATACCTTTGTCTGTGCTTGGAAATAAGTCTTCATATGAGCTTTTCTATCACAAGTCACCTTCTCTAGCTCACATTAGAGTTATTGGTTGCTTGGCATTTGCTACGAATATTAGAAGGAATGATAAATTTGCTCCTAAGGCCAAGAAAGCAGTGTTTTTGGGATATGCTGTAAATAAAAAAGGATACAAACTATTGGATATTGAGTCCAAACTAGTTTTTGTCAGCAGAGATGTTCTATTCTTTGAAGATATATTTCCTTTTCAAGATACAGGGTTGGATGAGGCAAATACGGTTGAACCTACTATGTTTACACATACAGATGATGGTCTTACACCATGTGTTGTCTTCAGGAATATGGTACAAACTGATCAACATGGGGCTGCTGATACTGCAGACCATGATTCATTTATCACTACTGAGCCCTCCATAGAAACACACACACATGCTGATTATTCTCAGGATCAGAATCAAGTTCCATTAGTACAGTCTATTCCTAATCATATTGTTGTGACCAGAAGATCCAACAGGCCTGCTAAGCCTCCTATCTGGCATACAGACTACATATTGACAAAGAAGAAAACCACTTCTGGAGATTGCTCTCACTCCATTGCTAATGTAGTAGACTATCAAAGCATCTCACCAGCTTATAGAAGTTATGTGACCAAGTTCTCTCAGGAAAGGGAACCACTTTCATATAATGAGGCCCTACAGGATTCTAGATGGATTCAAGCTATGAAAGATGAGATACAAGCACTGGAAAATAATCACACATGGGTGATTGTTGAGTTGCCTGAGGATAAGAGGGCCATAGGATGTAAATGGGTATACAAAATAAAGTATAAGGTTGATGGTGAGGTTGATAGGTTCAAAGCTAGGTTGGTAGCCAAGGGTTACAATCAAAAGGAAGGGCTGGACTATCAAGAGACTTTCTCACCTGTAGTAAAAATGGGAACTGTTAGGGTTGTCATAAGTTTGGCTGCTGCACCTCATTGGCAAATCCATCAAATGGATGTGTTCAATGCATTTCTTCAAGGAGATTTGAATGAAGAAGTATACATGGAGTTAACTCTGGGATTTGTTCACCAAGGGGAGAAGGGGACAGTGTGCAAGCTCATCAAGTCACTCTATGGACTCAAACAAGCTAGCAGACAATGGAATATTAAACTAACTACAGCTCTAATTGATTCTGGTTTTCAGCAGAGTCACTATGACTATTCATTATTCACCAAGCACAAAGGACCGAGTTTAGTGATGGTGTTGATATATGTTGATGACTTGCTTGTTACAGGGAATGATCTCAAGTTGATATTGGAAACAAAAGATATTCTCAAGGACAGGTTCAAGATTAAAGACTTGGGTGAATTGAGATAATTTTTGGGAATCGAATTTGCCAGAAATAAATCAGGGATCCTTATGCATCAAAGGAAATATTGTCTTGAGCTAATCTTAGACATGGGATTGTCTAACTCAAAGACAGTTGGAGCTCCTATTGAGCTGAATCAGAAGCTCACAACTACAGAGTTTAACTTACATTTTCCTACTGGTAATGGAGATGATAGGGTGCTGGATGATCCTAGTGTGTATCAGAAGTTGGTAGGAAGGTTGCTTTACCTAACAATAACAAGACCAGACATAGCCTTTGCAGTACAGCTCCTAAGCCAATTCATGCATAGCCCTAAAACATCTCATATGAAAGTAGCAATGAGGGTAGTAAGATATGTCAAACAAGCACCAGGGATGGGAATACTTATGACAGTCAATACAACTAACCAGTTAATTGCATACTGTGATGCAGATTGGGCTGCATGTCCAAACAACAGGAAATCAATCACTGGTTACATGGTTACATATGGAGGTTCCTTGATCTCATGGAAGTCAAAAAAGCAGGATACAATTTCAAGAAGCTCAGCTGAATCTGAGTATAGGAGTTTGGCTTCAACAGTTGCAGAAATTATATGGCTGGTTGGTCTCTTTAAGGAGTTAGGGGTGGAACTAAAGTCGCTAGTGCCTATATATAGTGACAGCAAATCTGCCATACAAATTGCAGCCAATCTAGTTTTCCATGAACGAACCAAACACATAGACATCGACAGTCATTTCATAAGGGAAAAGGTACAACAGGGAATGGTTCAGCCTATGTATCTGAAGACAACATAACAGCCTGCAGATTTATTCACTAAGGGACTCACTCATCTACAACACACATATTTGCTTACCAAGCTAGGCATGAAGAATGTTTTCCATACTCCTAGCTTGAGGGAGGATGTTGAGCAACTAGTTAAATATACAGGTGTTGATTAGTTAGAAGTTAGTTAGAATAAATTAACAAAGTGTGAGTCACTGTTAGTTAGTTAGTATCAGTACTTTTCTCTTCTGTATAAGTAGATAGCTTGTAACAGATTCTATTCATTCAATATAATTTTTCCTCTTTCACTTTCACTGATCTTAACAGAAATGTCTCTATGTGTGTGGAAACTTTGCTCTAGCTTTTCCTGAATGCATGGATGACTTCTTATATATAATATAATCTATATATATATAAAGCAGGATCTTCAGCCGCTGATGTGGCATGCCTCAATGATCAGGAAATCTATTTTTCTATTTTGTCAGTATTTTTTTTTCCTATTTTTCCATGTAAATGGATTATAATTAAGGCTACAATAATTAATACATTCTAATTAATTATTAAATAACGTTTAGTAAAGAGCAAGATAGTTCAAATCAATATACATTCAAGTAAATTGAAGAAGATGAAAAGGCCATAAACCTTTCATCTTCCAAAACCGTTTATTTTAGTATATAAAATAAAAGGACTAGAGAATATGTAACCAAGTACTCTTTCAATTTGCTTCTTTTCCTTATGAGATGTGCAGATTTCTTAAAGAAGAGAGAGTAGTCCTTCTGAAATGGGTAATTTCAAGGGTTTAATTAAATATGTCTCTACAATTATTTGAATGATCCTTTTATCATTTCTTGGTAAGATTTTAATCAATAATTTCTCCAATAGGAGATGCATACGAATAGAAAAAAAATCCATTCTGATGGAGGAATCATTTGTGGTCAAGCCAACAAAAAGAGATATCACCAGCAAAAACAGAGAGTTAGGGAATCATATTCACATAAAATCCATTGTGCACAGAAAATAAAATGAAACGAAGCAACAGGGGAACATGTGGCCTCCATCCTGGCTTCAGCTACAAGAAAGAAAGAGTTGAAGCATACTTACATGAATATACAGAGGCACTTTTTATTACTTTATTAAAATATGAATTTTTCAATGGTGGCGTTATTAACTTCTTTCCACTTTTTTGTTTTACTAATTTCTTTAGTCCTTTATTTTCCTGTTTTATTTTCCTTCTGCATTTTTAATTAGTTAATGTTCTCAACTATAATAAGATATATAATCCCCTAAATATGAATCAAATATAATTTCGTAATTCAAGTGTCAATAATGATACTATTTGATACTCTTGTGATCCTGCTAGATCATCAACACACTCACTTACCATTTCAAGACGTAAAAACACCAACAATATGGGCATGAAATTACTGGACATTTGCTGAATGTTACACTTATACCATGGGTAAGAATGTTGATCGGAATTTTTTTTCTATTGTGATGATAATTGAAATAGTGAATTGCAGTAGAGCGTGACTAAGTGATCAATGGATTCTCATGAGAATCAAAACAATTGTAAATATTATATTTTGAAGTCACAAATAATAATTTGATATATCTTGTAACTTTTTTCTATCTTCAACTTTTTTCATTGTAACATAAAGTGATGAGGTATTTTAGAGAGAAATTGATTATGGAAGATTTCCCATAAAATTAGAAGGAGATAAATAAAAATAGATGATAGTTATTAGAAGTAGTGAATATATAAAGTCTATAGTGATGGTAGAAAATGGAAAATGAAAAAATAATAAAGAGGAATAAGGAAAAGAAAAAGGAAAGAAAATATTTGATGTAATATAAAATTTAGGTTTAATTTATAATTAATAGTGCATTTAGTTTGTTCCATATATATATTCAAGAATCATTGTTGCTGTCTTGCTGATCTCTTCTTCCGTCGTCTTATCCTTTTTTTTGTTTGCCAATTTTTTTAACTTTTTTAATTTTATCTTATCTTTGAAATCTGGAAAAAAAATTAATATATTTTATTTATTTTTCTTCATTATTACTATACTTTATTATTATTTTTAATCTTTCCTTATCATTATTACAATTTATTACTTTTTATTAAATTCTTTTTCCCACCTTCTATTTTTTTTAATTTTCTAAAAAGAAAAAAATGTAATCAACTTTGCTCCATATTAACATAATTTAATATTATACCTTCTATTTCTAATATATATATATCCTTCTTTTTATAATCATAAATATGCTTTTCCAATTGATTTTTCTCTTAATCAATCTCATTTAACTTGCTATTAAAATTTGCAGAAAATTAAAAATATATAAAATAATTATAAAAGTACTCAAATTCTGCTCTAACAAAGCAAAAACAAAAAACAGTTAGAATACTATATACACATAATATTTACACACTTCAATACAATGAAGTCAATTCTCGAAAGAAAACAAATACATTTATGATAATAAGGAGAAAGATAAATAAAAGATGTGTATATATATATATTATAAAATTATGAGAATAAAAAGGAGAGATAAGTAAAATTTATTTTTAGAAACCACAAAAATAAAAGGTAGAAAAAGGAATATAAGGAAAAGAAATATTTAAAAAATATATGTTTATAATGAGGCCAAAAAAATTATGAGAATAAAAAGGAGAGATAAGTAAAATTTAATTTTAGAAAACTACAAAAATAAAATGTAGAAAAAGGAATATAAGGAAAAGAAATATTTAAAAAATATATGTTTATAATGAGGCCAAAAAAATTATGAGAATAAAAAGGAGAGATAAGTAAAATTTAATTTTAGAAAACTACAAAAATAAAATGTAGAAAAAGGAATATAAGGAAAAGAAATATTTAGAAATATATATTTTTATGTGAAGGGAAAAAGGTAGCCTTTTGAAATTCCTTATTTTTTTGAAGGTATAACTGATCATTAATTAATAATTAATAATTAATACTAATTTATAATTAATGATTAATAATATTTTTTTAAAATATAAAAATGCTTAAATTCTAAGAAAATAGATAAAAATAAATTTATCTTAGAGGCATGCCACATCAGCAAGTCTAACAATCTCCTATATATATATATTGATAAATTGATGATTGATTTTTTGTAGTTTCACATGTATTAACAATGCAAGAACCAAAATTAAAGAAAAACACACAACTTAATATTAATCTAAACCATTTGTAGTTGAAGAACCAAAACGTATTTTAAATATTTAAATCATAGAATAATAAATTAATACTATGAATAGAAAAAGTGATATGACACCTCTCTTTGGTCAAAACTACAACAATTTTTATTTTATTTTTTTGCCTTTTTTCAGATTTTTCTATATTTTTTCATCATTTATGTGTTATAAATAATATTAAAAACTTTAAAAATCCGCTTCTTTAACTCTGTTAATTATATTAACTACGCAATGATAAGAAACTAAAATGTAATATTTTTAATGTAAGCTTTAATAATCTTTATTTTCATTACACTCACAACTTTTTGTTATTATAATTTTTAAAATAATTAATAGTCATAGTCATATAAATAGAGATATTGTCAGAGTTATAGAATTCATCACTTTAATAAATAAAAAATTATATTTCGAGAGATATTGCCAGAATTTATAGAAATCGTCACATTTTTTTTTGTTATTATATTTTTTATGCTTATTATATGCATATTTTAGTTTGACTCGAAAAATAAGATGCGGACTATTGAATTATGATCAACTTATGAGTGTGGATGTGGACAAAAACTCCAAAGATTAATTATGCATTGAATTTGTATTTTATTCTTCGTTTTTAACAATTTAAGGTCCAACAATTATATTGCAAATACATCTTCATCTATATAATACTTAATAAAATTATTCGTGACTTATTATCTTTTACAACCACGCGAAGCGCGGACAAGTTCACTAGTACTAATATAAAAGAAAAATAAATCTTATTAAATTAGTGTGTACGCTGATCGATCTTTGAGGCACATTTTACATTTTTATGATAAGCTTATTAATTCTATGTCGGATATGTACAATAATGTATGTTATTTATGTGTCAAATATGGATGTTATTGGTTATGAAATGAATGTATACCTGGTGTATACGTCTGGAATGTATATATGGTGTATATTTACTGTAGTGGTTGTGTGTCTTATATATCACTGAACTTACAGTGATATACACACGACATATGTAATATATGCAAGGCTTAAGTCATTGATAGCCACTTAAAGTTGTCCTCACATTCCACTTGAACACCTCAACTAAGACTTGTACCTATTGAACATCTACACAATAAGAAATTTGTACCTATTAAACCCTTTTTGCTGACATGGCAAAGTGTGTGTAATACACACAAAGAGAGGAGCGTGAAAAGGATAATTTTTTAGCAAAAAAAGAAAAGATTTTATATCTTCTTCTTTGACAGAAAAGCTCCCATCACCATTTTTCCATTGCAAGTTGCAGCCATCACCACTCACAAATATTTTTTCCACCAAATCGGTTGTTACCATTCACAAGTCTACCATTGTCAAACGCCTTAGCCTTTCAAACAATCAACCACACATTCAAATTTGTCACCTTAAGTTTTTCGTTGGAAAAAATGTTATCGCTGCTGCCACCAAACATATTTATCCCTTGTTCATCTATTTTTTCAAATCAAACCCAAACATAAATTAGATATAAATCTTAAAACAAAAGAAATACCAAAAAAAGGGAAGAAGATGAAGTGGAGATTCCTTTCCGTTGACATGGGATGTTAAGCAAATGTCATTACATAAAGACAGAAAAAAAATTAAAATAACAAGCAATCAGTGATCGATCGCCTTCTTACTTTAGTGTTCATTATTTTCGGCGAAATTCCATTTTTTCTGGCAAGAATAATATGAATTTGAAATTATTCTTTGAAATTATTGATGTATTCAAACTCTAAAAAACTCACAACACAAGAAGAAGAAAGAATATCAATAAATCTAAATTGATGTTTGAGGATAAGTGTAAGATTAAAGAATGGCAGCGTATGGTGTTTTGGGGGAAGGTTCTGACGAAAGAGGAAAAAGGTAAGGATGATTTTCTTTTCTTTTTTTCTTTCTAAAAAATATAATTTTTCTTTATAATTTATTTTTTATTAGTTATTCTAGGCCCAATACCACGTGTCTTCGTTTGATTAGTTACTATGCCACGTCATTCGCGAGTGTATAATACACACTCTCTTATTTCAGCTGATTGTCTATAAAGTGTTCGATAGGTAAATTTTTTTATTAGCGCAGGTGTTCAATTGGAACAATCCTAAGATGAGGTGTTTAAGTGAAATTTGCGGACAACTTTAAGTGGCTATCGATGACTTAAGCCTATATGCAACGATATTATTTGTAGATTGACTGTATGTCCTACATCCACCATTCATTTTTGGCAAGTGGATGAGCTTTCAAAAGTATGTTTTGTGGGGTTAGAAATACTTGTTATCACACCGTGTTTAAAACAGTAAATCAGAATATCAAAGTAAACCGTAAAATAGAAAGTTATAAATAAGAATATCTAAGTGAACTGTAAAATAGAATTCTAAGTTATACTAGTGAAATTTCAGGAGTGGAGTTTGAAAGTAGAGAGGCCGTTCTCGAAAGAATTCTACATATTTTTTAACAAAATATGGCGCGCTATCACAGGGAAAGTATATTTGAATTGAAAATGCGAAGGAGAATAATCAAATGATCATATGAATTGGAAATGAACACTTCCATATTCTTGGAATTTTCCTTTGTTCAATGATAATGATGTTGAAAATCATTTTGCAACCATTGTACCAAAACTCATTTCCGCCATCTACATACGCACCCATTTTCCAATTCTTGATTGGCAAGAATTTTGTTAAACTTGGCCAACAAGTTCATGCTCACATGGCTGTTCGAGGGGTTTTCCCCAATGGATTAGTCGCTGCCAAAATGGTAGCCATGTATGCCAGCTCCGGTGAAATCGACGCTGCCTCACGTATTTTCGATAATGCCACTGAACACTCTTCGCTTCTGTACAATGCCATGATTCGAGCACTCACCCTTTATGGGATTACCAAAAGAACAATAGAGATTTTCTTCCAAATGCATTCATTAGGCTTCCGTGGTGACAATTTTACCTTTCCCTTTGTTTTCAAGTCATGTGCTGATTTGTGTGATGTTTGGTGCGGGAAGTGCGTTCATAGCTTGATTTTCAGGTCTGGATTTGTGTTTGATATGTATGTAGGCACTTCTTTGATTGATATGTATGTGAAGTGTGGTGATTTGATTGACGCTCGTAAACTGTTTGATGAAATGCCGGTGAGAGATGTATCGACTTGGAATGTATTGATTGCTGGGTACATGAAGGATGGGTTATTCAAAGATGCTGAGGAATTGTTTGAGGAAATGCCAATTAGGAATATAGTGTCGTGGACAGCTATGATTTCTGGATATGCTCAGAATGGTTTAGCTGATGAGTCGTTGCAATTGTTCGATAAAATGTTAGATCGTGACTCGGAGGTGAGGCCTAATTGGGTGACGGTTATGAGTGTTTTACCTGCTTGTGCGCACTCGGCTGCACTAGATCGTGGGAGGAAGATTGTCAAAATCAGCACACTAAGATCAAGTTATGCCATGGAATGATCTAAGAGACCATTAGAGAGATGAGAAGCTTTGAAGGAGATATTTTGGGAATGGAATTGAACTGTTTCATTCAACGTGAATTGTCCTATTTATACATCAATGAATTAACATCTAATGCTAACTAACTAACTAAAATGCAGTTTATGAATTAACAGTTAAATTAGTGCTAACTAGCTAACTAACTGACTGTAGCTACAGTAATACTAACAGTAACTGCCTAACTAACTTCAATACTCCCCCTCAAGCTGGAGGCTCAAGAACATTCAACACTCCAAGCTTGCTGAGTAGATACATGTGTTGGATGCTTGTGAGTCCTTTTGTCAGCAAATCAGCTTGTTGTTCCTTTGTGTGTACATAGATAGGCTTAACAGTCCCTTCCTTGATTTTATCTCGAATGAAGTGACAATCGATTTCAATATGTTTCGTTCGTTCATGAAAGATTGGATTTTCAGCTATTTGTATTGCAGACATGTTATCACAGCAAATATTGATAGGTATATCAATTTGTACATCTAGTTCCTCAAATAGTCCTTTCAGCCAAGTTAATTCTGCCACAGCTGCTGCAAGACTTCTATATTCTGCTTCTGCCGAGCTTCTAGATACAGTTTGTTGTTTTTTCGACTTCCAAGAAATAAGGGACTCCCCAAACTTTACTGCATATCCAGTGACTGACCTCCTGGTGTTTGGACAAGCAGCCCAGTCAGAGTCGCACCAACAAGTGAGTTTTTGAGTGTATCCAGCTTGCAACAATATACCTTGTCCAGGTGAATTCTTTAGGTATCCCAGGTACAGTTCTCCGAGTGACAAAGAACCTTAGAATCTGTGGGGACTGTCATACTGCTATAAAACTTATCTCTAAGATATATGAAAGAGAGATCATTGTAAGGGATGTGAACCGGTTTCATCATTTCAAAGATGGTTCTTGTTCCTGCAGAGACTACTGGTGATTAAAAATGAAGATGTTAATACCTCTAATTTATCTGTTCATGTCAAGATCAGTTACAAAACTCAGATGAGAATTCTTGTAGTCGTTATGCATAACCATCTCGGAGACTACCAACTGTAATATCAGCCGTGTTCACTGTCCACACTTTGGTGGAAATTATTAAGCTCCAGTGGCATTGAATGTTCATTTGTACTGAAGCTATTTCCTCATTGAAGTATCACCCGATGGGTGAATGACATGCCTCAAAATGATGGAAGTTTCCTAAATGTTGAGGGTGAAGTATCTTTCTTGGAGGGATGTTGTTAAGACTTTGTAATAATCAACTTTTGGAGAAGCCAGTTAAAATCTCACAACATGACTGGGAACTTGTTTTGAGGATGTCATTCACCGTTACATGGAAGCTCAATACAACAATTAACCAGTAGACCTGGTATGGCGTTGGGGTATAGTAATGCTCTTGGTTACCTCGAAACATAGAGAAGATGAATGTTCCAGAGTCAATTTGTTGACCAATATAGTATTGTATTTCAACAATTAAGCATATTCGCATTGTTCTTTCAAGTGGCAGTTTTGGTGAACCTTTTTGGTGCCATGGTGGGTAATGACTAAGGATGTTAGGCACTCCGGTAAGTATGGACAGAATATAAAGAAACCATTGAAATTTACGATATCTTTTTTAGATTTTATTTATGAAATTTAACTAAATATATTATCGTTCTCCCGCTGTTGTTGTCCTAGCAGACCCACATTTTATCAATTTGGCCAGCCATGGTAGCCATGAATTTTAAGGGGTCGCTTGGTTACTGATTAAAGTTATCCATGTATTAGTTATATATGTAGATATTAATTATGTATGTATGAATTATGTATGTATCAATTGTGTAGATATTATTTATTTATAATTTATTGAATATTTAATTTGTTGTAAATTAATATACATTATTTACGAATAAATAAGTAACCAAATTAGATTGACTCGATCGATTATTGTTAGTGTACACTAACATCCAAAAATATGTAACTAACACCCGTACTCTCTGTCCACTTTTCGTTATCATATCACGTTTTTCGAAAGCCAATTTGATTAATTTTCTGTAACACCCCGACTTTTCAAAACATCTAAATTAACTCGTATCTTCGTGGAAAGACAAGGAGGGTGAGTAATAAATTAAAAATGATGTGGTATGTCATATTTTAAGTGTTCAAGGGTTGTATCTCAAGTTTTGAAGTTAAGTAAGTGGCAAAATAAAAGTTGGCGAAAGTTATCGTAAGTTCCTTTTTAAAGATTTCTCTAAAATTTGGGTCAAATGTCTTGGATGTTTCTCCAATATATAAAAGTTAGAAGGACTATCACCATTAAATCGAAGGCCTACGAGTCTAGTTTGCAACGCACAAAACCCCGTATCAAATCGACATCAGAGTAAAAAGTTATGAGGGTTTTACTAGGGACTGCTGGGGTCGGATCCGGGTCAGGTAAAAAATATGGTATGTTGGCTTATTTAACGTTTTAAGCCATGAAAACATTTCATTTCAGTTCCAAACTAGAGAGAACGCTTAAGAGAGGGTTCTTATGAAGCTCTAGCATGATGAAGGTTAGTTTTTGACGATTTCTACCATTAAACATTGCCCCCTTGCCTAGAAACGTAATCCCTACACGTGGCAATCATTTTTCCCTTCTATTTGCTGCGTTTGGAGCTGGTTTTTGAAGATATAAATTTGTAGTTATTGGTGTTTCTTCAAGGTTTACACTTGCTTAACTAAGGTAATCATCTCGGGACCCTTTTGTGGTTGTTTTTATGAATTTTTACGAACGTTTCGACAAGTTGGGGTAATATGGCAAATCTGCCGATTTAAGATTAATTATGAACTGTTTATAGGTCTGTACCAGTTGTGTATATATAGTGTTTGCGAAGCTAAGGACATAAGGAACAACTTTCGTGAAGGAACTACGGTATTTCAAGCGTTCATTGGAAAGGTCTGTTAAGGCTATTCCCTACTTACGGCATGTTTCCTTAAAGCTTAGGAGCAATGTAATTAGGTTGGTATCCTTGTTACACTTATAGCCATTATTGTTGATTGTTGGCTGCTCGAGTTGATCTAATCCTTCCTTGTCGGGATTCTTATTCGGTTAGTAGAGTCCCTATGTTAGACACGACTTAGAGGCTATTTGTATAGGTTGCTTATAACTAAATTGCTCGCTTTTAGCGATTGGATTGTTATTGTTGCCCTTGGGGCTATTGTGGTTAGCTGCAGGAATGTGATCTATGCTTAGAAGGGCTATGTTCTGCCTACGGGGCTATATGGATCCCTAAAAGGGCTATAAGTTGCCTACAGGGCTATATTGACGCCTAAGAAGGCTATGTACTTCCTACAGGGCCATGTTG